TGGTAGGTGTACCGTCTTGGAGCTCCAGCTCGGGCATGTGCTCGGTGTCCAGCAGCGCGACGTCGCTGTGAGTGCAGAAGATCACTTGTTGCAAGGGGAGAGGAACGTGGCTGATCCCTTTGGCAAGGTTGGCCTCGCCCAAGAGGTAATTCCACACCTCCTGAGTCCAGAACAGCTTGGGCCGGGTGCCGTCCGTCTCATCGGTGAAGTAGAGGGAAGAGCAGAAGCTTCGGAGCGAGCTGAGATCCTCGTTGATGATCTGCTTGAGGATGTGGATGGCCGCTGAGCGCTGTTGGACAGGCAGACTGGAGTTCCAGCACGCTTTGCATATTGCTGGTCCCCAGATGGCGGACGAGAGCATTGGTGGAGGCACGGTACGGTTCTTCTCGCTCTGGTAGCTGTAGCGAGTGTGAGCCTATTGCATGTCTAGCATTCATATCACACCAAGCGATTGTCTGCAGCTGCAAAAGAGAGGTACCTCTCTGTGATGATGGATAAGGCAGAGGAGAAAGCCTGTAGACGCACGCGCTCCGAAAAAATGGTGGGCAGACTCGCCACCTTCTGAGTGAGGAAGAGGAGTATCTGATCGCGGTAGTCGATGTAACCTAGAACCAGAGAACAGAACAGAACAGAACGCATGAGCGGAGTACTTGAGAGCGGAGGAAACGGTTGATAGCAGGGTATCATACCTTCATATTGCTCCAGCGACTGCAGCAGGGGCTTGAACAGAGCAAGGATTCTCAGCTGATTCTCGGCACTGGCACCGTGCAGCGAGTGCTGGAAAAGCTCCTGAATGAGCGTGATCGGTTTGAAGGACGCCTTGAGCCATATCTTGTAACCTGAAGGGTGCATTGATGAGCAAAGGACTACCACAAGGGAAGGACCTTTTCTTAAGCAAGTACCTAGTAATCGCAGCATCTTTGTGATGCACATGAGAGTGCTAGAGAAGACTTCAGGGTAGCTCTGAAAGTTGTTGATGAGCACGTCCACGAAGCCTAGGGGAGGAGAATGAGTGTTTCTTGTTCTTCGGCATATCAGTGTTTAAAACTCTTAGGGTTACGCACTCGGGTACTTGCGGATGAACTTCTCCTCCAGCAACTCGGGGCTGAACTTGTGGAAAAAGGTGGCGAAGCCTTCCCAGAACTCTTCTCGAGAGTGAGACATCAGCCAGCCCTCCTCCTGACCTCCCGGTTCAATGATCTGTATGGAGTCGTCGAGAGCCCCAAACTCGAGCATTCCTGAATATGAATAAATGATTAGAATGTTCCCGTACGCGAATCACACACGCCCCACACAAACGCCACACCACACACACACGGGGGAGAGTACGCATGCACTCCTCCGCGACAGGATGCACGTGCGGTTGCCAATCGTCCTTCGAAAGGGCACCCAATTCCTCAACCATTCTCGTGGCCCACGACCGCACACGGGCATCTGCCTCACGTCCAGCGTGAGCGCCAAGCATACGCAAGTGCAAAGGGCATTGCGTACCTGGGTGCATGAGCAGCATGTAAATGCCGGGCGACTTTGTGGAGATCTTCCACTCCACTTCCTCCGCCTCGTCGAGGTCCTTGATGCTGCAAGGCCAGCGCGTCAGCAAGTGGTGAGCAGCAGAGAACGGCGAGCCTACCTCTTGGCGAAGAGCTCGCTCAATTGAGCGCTGTTTTGAATGACCTGCGGGAAGTGGAGTATCTCGTAGAACAGGAACGCGAGAGCCACCAGGTCAGCATTCTCGCTACGCGCGTCGATGCTGTTGAGCCCTTCGCACAACCTGCAGCAGGGACCAGGCCTTAGCGCTGCGCTGCGGGACGTGCATGCACAAGATGGTGCATGGTGTTGTGTACGCACCTGACGATGTCTTGCTGCAGTAGATTGCCGAAAAAGATCTCCATGCTCCGCATCGTGTAGCGCTTCTCTTGTTCAAACTGCTCCCGCAGTGCAGCCACCGCTTGATGGTAGGAGGTGATGCTGCAGATTGGAGCGATTGAGAAGTCGTGCATCACTGCCCGCAAAGTCGTGCAGGAAAAATACCAATTAACACAACTGCGTAGTTGTTTCGCCATGTGAGCCAGCAAGGTCGAAAGAGTCTCCTTGGATTCGAAAATTATAAGTAATTCTCGCATCTTGTCACCGTGCCGACACCACAAGTGCTCCTCATTCTCCAATTCGGCCAGGTAGCCTTTAAATCGTATCTCTTGCTCTGCCGTGATTGCCATCAGGCAGCGAGCATCACAAAAAATTTGCCTCTTATTTCTCTATTTTTCCGTGATTGTTTTCGCTCTTGTCGTGTCCTTTTTTTTTGCGTTGAGTTTTTAAACCCTTGCGGGCCGGAGGCGTACCGTTCGCACCACGTCTGTCCCACCCGTCCGTCTTACCACTGCCGTCACCTCACACATGCACACCGGCCTCACTCTAACCGCTCTCTCCATCTTGCACTCGCCACTCCCTCCATCGTCAATCACTGAGCAGTGAGCACCGCTCCTCATCCGCCGCTCACCCACGCGAGGCGACCAGGCTCGCCCGTCGAGCGGCACAGCCTTGCCCAGCCGGGTCACGGGACCTATTGCAAGAACGTGAGAGGTGAAAGCAGAGTAGACAAGAGAAGCAGCAAAACCAGGGCCACCAATGATGTGGTAGGCCATGCTTATTTGTTGTTCATCTTCTCCCCACAATGAGGGCTTCTGGGGAGGCAAGTGGGACAAAGACAGACCCTTGAGTGGCCAAGTCTCTGCCCCACCTCAACTGTCTATGAGTGAGCCACCCACTGGTCATGACCCCCCACTGCTGCATGTAATGGCAGCTCATGATGTAGGCCGGAATGCTCAAAAAAAGGCTGCCCTGGACAGGTTCAAGGAACAATAGTCATTGTCTTGTTTTTTGGCTAAGGATGTGATGGTCTCAACCGAACACACCCCGCGATCACGTCTGAACACCCCCCTTTTTTGGTGTTGACGTTGAACAAGCATCGCTGATAGAAAAGAGAAATTGCGGCTGTAACACAATAGACGCGTGTGAGCTTCAGTAGTGGGTGGGCGACTGGTACTTGCCCTCTGCTCGTCGTGTGGAGGTTGGTCAGTGGTCAAGACGAAGACAGACACACGACGCCTGGGATGGAGCAGCGGTACCAGTAAAGATCTCGGCGGTGGCCGGGTCCTTGGCGAGATCCTGGGCGGTCCTGTGGAGCGCGTTGCGATGGGTGACATCCGCACCCAGGCTCAGGAGGAGCCGTACGGTGCTCACCTTGCCGGCACCAGAGGCCATCGTCAGCGGAGTGTCCTTGTCCTGTTTCCATCACTCACGCACGAACACACGCATACGCACATCAGTCCATCATAAGCGTGAACTCCTGGTTCATCTCCTTCACTTGATGATGCCGCACCTGGTCGAGTGCGTTGACGTCAGCACCCTTGCTCGCCAGGAACTGTACCACGTCGTCCTGTCCGAAGCGAGAGGCCAGGTCTGCGCGTGTCGTGTTTGCGCGGTGCGTGCTGTGAGCCGAGTGGTCAAGCAACAGTGCGGGGCGCGCGTGGGAGACGTACGCAGGGGAGTGGAGCCCTCTGTCGTGGCGAGGTCGACCTGGGCGCCCTGCTCGAGCAGGAACTCGACCACATGGCGGTGACCCCCTTCGCCCCGTGGCCGCGCGCAGTGAGAAGGGGACGAACGGACCTAAAAAGGAGTGAAGGCGGCGTACAGCGAGCGGCCTCGTGGAGGGCGGTCTTGCCCTGGGCGTCCTGTGCGTTAATCTTGGTCAAGGAAGACTTCATCCTCTGCTTGCACA